CGTGCAGGTGCAGGTGTTGTCTCCACCCTCACCTCCTGGCTGTCCCTTCTCCCTCCCCGTGGGTAGCCGCTGCGAGTACTTATTTATTTTATTTTATATTTTATTTATTAATATTATTCATGAGAGACACACTGAGAGAGGCAGAGACACAGAGGGAGAAGCAGACTGCATGCGGGGAGCCCCACATGGGACCCAAACCCCAGAATCTGGGATCATGCTCTGGGCCAAAGGCAGGCACTCAACCGCTGAGCCACCCGGGTGTCCCTGTGACCACATTTCTGTCTGTCCGTCCAGAGAGACTCTGCACACAGGAGCACGAACATAGGTATTTTCTCATTTCTTGCCTTATACAAGTGGAAGCAGATGCAACTCTGGTCTTGCCCTTGCTCTTCCCACACACGGAACGTGTCCTGGAAACCACTCAGCTGCCCCTGCCCCAGCTTGTCGTAAACAGTGTGTGAGGGGCGCCCGGGTGGCTCAGGGGTGGAGCATCTGCCTTTGGCCCAGGGCGTGATCCCGGGGTCCTGGGATCGAGTCCCGCATCGCACTTCCCTTAGGGAGCCTGCTTCCCTCTGCCTGTGTCTCTGCCTCTCTCTCTGTCTCTTATGAATAAATCTTTTTTTTAAAGAACCAACAAATTATTTTTTAAAAATAAGCAATGCAAGGTATTCAGTTATAATTACTTCCAGCTCTGCTGCAGGTCCACCCTGCAGAGTGGTGCCAGACTTACCCGTGTGAGCCGCACGTGCCACCACGGCTCTCCGCTGGGGCACAGTCTCTTCGCCCTGGTCACCTTGCCCTCTGTTGGCACTTCCCTCCGCGCCTTTCCCGCTCCTTTCGTCCTGTGCTCCAGCTAAGTTGAGTGCTCAGCACCCAGCACCCCTGCAGCCACGTGTGGGGCCGCGCGTTTGCTGATTCTTTTCCTTCTGTTCGGGATGCACATCGTCATGGGTTTGACCGACTGTCTCCTGAAATCTCAAACATCCCAGGGGGGCTTGGCCTTGCTGTCACCGTCTGTGAAGTCTCTGACCACCACCGGGAGGACTGGCACCCCTTGCTCTGAGCTCCCGTGGTCCCTGTAAGGCACTGAGCGGGGCCCCTGCTGCGTGCAGAACTGTGTGCTGCTCCTTTAAGAAATACACCTGCTCAGGCTTTACCCCCGTCCATGTGTTCAGTAGGCCGGATACCTTACCGAATTAAGAACCGGTGCCCACATCAGGTTCCTCTGACTCACGGGTGGTTGCCTGGCACCTGGAATCTGGTCCAGGTGAGGTAGGAAAACAGCGAATATCTGAAGAATGTGCTTGGCCTAGAAAGGAAGCGAGGCCTCAAAGTGAAGCGTGTATTGATGGGTAGGAACGGAGGTGGCGTGGGGTGACGGCGAAGGCCACTTCGTGCTGGATGCGTCTGGGTCATTCTAGATCTTTCTGGAATGCACGAGGAAGATGAAGAAAAGGAGCCGCCTTCCTCTGTTGGCTGCAGGGCACTCACTTGGGGGGCGGGTCACTTGCCTGACTCCCACAGCCCCAGTAGCCCCAGGAGCCCTCCAGCCCCATAGCTGCTGTCCTTCCCACCTGCCGTGCTCACCAGGTGTAGATTTACTGAGACTGTAGATCAGCTGTGGCCTTGTCTTCCTTGTCTCTGCTCAACTGATAAACTAGACCCTTCCAAACAAGGAGGTTACTAGTAAATGATGAGGAAATAAACACAGGAAGGGTAAGAAAATAAACAGAAAGTGAGCACGGCTTGGGGGCGCCTGGGTGGCTCAGTCAGTTAAGTGTCCGACTCTTGATTTCAGCTCAGGCCATGGCCTCAGGGTCCTGGGATCGAGCCCCACATCGGGTTCTGCACTGATTGTGGCACCTGCTTGAGATTCTCCATCTGCCTCTGCCTCTGCCCCTCCCCCTGCTTGCTCTCTCTCTTGAAATAAAATAAAGTTAAAAAAAAAAGTGGGTAGAGGCTCAAATTTCTGCTCCTTGGTGTCAGGCTTGTTGGGACTTCTCAGTGAGGCTGGTTCTCCCCTCGGGTAAGAAGTCAGCTTCTTCACCTGTGGGCCCAATCTCTTAACCCAAAGGGTGAACCCGTGATTGGACAAGGATCCTAAATATTTTAGGATAGTAATGACCATCCCAGCAAGGGGCCACTGCCTTTCAGCTCAAAGGGTTACAAAAGGAGGGACACCCCAGGGAGGCTCAGTTGGTTTGTGCACTGGACTCTTGATTTCCACTCAGGGTCATGAGATCGAGCCCCACCTTGGGCTCTGAGCTCAGCAAAGTCTGCTTGAGATTGTCTCTCCCTCCCATGCTCATGCTGTCTCCTAGGAGTGGGGGAGTCGCTCCTGTTTAACCCGTCTGCCCTGCTCTCTTCCCAGTGCAGACCAGGAAAGAAGGCCACTTCCTTTCCCTTCTGTTTCAGAAGACTCCTCTCTCCACAGGGGACCACCATGCGATTCCATATTTTTAGTTCCCAGGGAAGTAGGAGTAGGAAGATGTCTTAGGAGATCACAGAGGAGGGCGCCTGGGTGGCTCAGTCGGTGAAGTGTCTGCCTTCGGCTCAGGTCATGATCCCAGGGGCCTGGGATGGAGCCCCACATCGGGCCCCCTGCCCAGCGGGGAGCCTGCTTCTCCCTCTGCCTCTGCCCGCCCCCCACTTGTGCTCTCTTTCTCTCAAATAAGAAAATAAATAAATAAACTCTTAAAAAAGAGAAAGAGAGAGAGATCACAGAAGATTGGCACCTTGAACCTGTGAAGGATTTCAGATCAAGGTTTGCACTTTCTCCCCAGCAACCTCTGCCTTCTGGAGAATTCTGGTCAGCTTCCTCATATTCTTTTGAGACAGCGATTTGTAAAAGTCTAAATGTTACAGTTTTACGGTGTCTGAATAACTTTTAAAATTGCAGTAACACAAGAAAAAAGGTGTGTTCTCCAACCTGCTGGGAAGGTAGCGCCCTCCAGCCGAACTGTGAACACCTCAGAGCGCTGCTCCTACGCACAGGCCTGTTGCACAATTCCAGGCCCTTCCCAAAGACAGGGCACTTCTGCTGAGTTCCTGCCTCCCGTGGGGCTAATCAGCATCTCACCGCCCCAATCTCACCCCCCTGTTGTGTTGGGGGAAGACTGACTGCCCTGCATCTCCATCCTTTCCTGGGAGCGGTGACTTAGTTCAGGAATGAGAGTCGGTGGGTCTTTTCTAGATTTCCCACCCACCTCACCCAGGCCCCCAACACTCACGGTCCCAGGGATGTGACATGTTATTGGTTACATAAGACTGTTTAAATAAAGTCTGTGCATTGTTTAGGCTTGCTTCCTATTAAACAAATTTTAAAGCCTTTGACGTTTTCTGGGGCGCTTGGGTGGCTCAGTTGGTTAAAGCGTCCAACTCTTGATTTCAGCTCACGGCATGATCTCAGGGTCCCGGGATCCAGTCCTGCGTCAGGCTCCGTGCTTAGCAGGGAGTCTGCGTCTCCTGTTCCCTCTGCCCCCTCCACCCCCCCCCCCCCGCTTGCACTCTCTCTCTCTCTCTCCTCTCTCTCTCTCTCTCCCTTAAATAAATAAATCTTAAAAAAAAAAACTTAAAATTTTCTGAAGTCTTTTTTTTTAACCATTTAGAATAATGGCAACTTACAAAAAGCATATCTAAGCTCAAAATCTTCTGTTTCCTAGCCTTGCTCTTAAATTGCTTGTTAACTTGGGCTGATTCACCCAAAAAATGAAGAGAAGCCAGGCGAGGAATAGTTTCCTTTTTAAGCTGTTCTCACACCTTCAGGATTTCCCTAAGGAGATCTCACAGTAATTTTTGAAGTTTTAAATGGCAAAGTCCACCCAGAGGTATTCAGTACTGATTGGACTTTCTCCACAGATGTTTGTTTCTGTTAAAAATGGATGCACATGCAAGCGTGCACACACACACACACACACACACACACACACACACACACACTTGTGCCCATGGTTATCTGAGCTCACATGCCCCGCAGAATTCTTACAAGGGCTCATAAGACCACCTGGCAGTATTTTCAGTTTAGGAATGAATGACGTGGGCTCATATCTCTCCACTGGCCCTAAAGCTCCACAAGAGGCTTATTCCCTTATTCCCTATTAATCTTGTTTGGTCTTCTAGAAGGTTTTGTTGAACTCCATTGTCCATTGTTCAGAGACTGAGCTGAATTTCCTGCTAAAAGAGAGTGTGAAACCAAGGGGCTGGTAGGGGAAATTTTGCTGTCTTTATTCCCGAAAGTAAAAATATGAACTTCCTTGTAGTATTAACTTACGGTACCTTCATATCTTATGTAGAAATTGCAAGAGCATCACGGCCCCCAGAGAGTCTAGAGTCTCAGAGATGTCACCCAGACTTCCATTCGCAATTTGCTAGCTCTTGTCACCTCACTCAGATCTGAACTGCACCGAAGCTGGAAGAGGAACCATAATTCTGTGGTGTCTGAGGTAGAAGAGACTAGAATCAATAAAGAGCCTGGGGAAATCCTGTATCTGAGTGGGAAAGAGCATGAGAGTACAGGTCCTCGGGGCAAAGGAGGGAACAAGAACTTTATCCTGTCCATGTTTCAGCAACAAAATAAATGTTAGTATGTCCCATTTTTCCCTAAAAATGATTCACCTTGGGACGCCTGGGTGGCCCAGTGGTTGAGCGTCTGCCTTTTACTCAGGTCGTGATCCCGGGGTCCTGGGGTCGAGTCCCACATTGGGCTCCCCACAGAGAGCCTGCTTCTTCCTCTACCTGTGTCTCTGCCACTCTCTGTGTCTCTCATGAATAATCAATCAATCAATCAATCTTTAAAAAAATGATTCACATTTCCATGATGGAAAGGGGTATAAAGAAGAGATGAAAATGAGCAAACAGGTTGATCTAGGGGCTCCTACTTCTCTTCATCTTGACAGCTGAGGCTGCCAATCGAGGTGACCTCTGACCCACGCGGAGGCCTTCGTTTCAGGGGACCTGGCATTCACTGTGTAGACTCTAACCCCTGTGCTTGGTTTCTCCAGACGCAGTGGCTACTTGAGAATGGCACCCTGGCCCCTTCCCCACCTCCTGTGACCGGGCCAGCGGCCGGGGCATCTGTGGGGATGCCTGTAAACCGCCAGCAGTCGGACTCTTCGGACATGGACTCGGATGTGTCCCCCAGCTGCGGACTCAGCGACCTGAGCAGAGGGGACAGCCTGGGGAGTCGAAGCAGCAGCTCCCGCTCTAGGAGTTTGACTTTGGTGAGTGACCGTCTTCTCAGATGTTCCGGCCGCGTGATTTTTGTGCCAGGCCCCTCCCTAGTGAGGAATATCTCACAACATCCTCTTGGGTTCACTAGCTTGACATCTCGGCACACTTCCTTTGCAAAGTGGCATTTTATTTGGAATCATCTTAAGGTCTGCCCAGATGCAGAGCACTCCACTGGGCAGCAAAGGGAATCTCACGCTGCAGCTGGTAACCTGGCTGCTGAGCCCCCCAAGGAGACCATGCCCTGAAGGCCCTAACACACCAGCTGGGGCCTGCTACCTTTCAGCTCAAAGGACTGAAAAGAGGGGAGCCTGGGTGGTTCAGTTGGTTTGTGCATCGGACTCTTGATTTCTGCTCAGATCATGATCTCGGGGTCGTGAGATCGAGCCCCACCTTGGACTCAGCACAAAGTCTGCTTCAGATTCTCTCTCCCTCTCCCTCTGCCCCTCCCCCCACTCATGCTCTCCAAATAAATTAATTAAATCTTTTTTTAAAAAAAAAGAGTTGGAGGGCACCTGAGTGGCTCAGCGGTTTAGTCCCTTCCTTCGGCCCAGGGCATGATCCTGGGGTCCTGGGAAAATAAAATCTTTATTGTTTTTTATTTATTCATGAGAGACACAGAGAGAGAGAGAAAGAGGCAGAGACACAGGCAGAGGGAGAAGCAGGTTCCATGCAGGGAGCCCAATGCGGAACTCAATCCTGGGTCTCCAGGATCACACCTGGGCTGAAGGCGGTGCTAAACCGCTGAGCCCCCGGGCTGCCCGAATAAAATCTTTAAAAAAAGAACTCTTTCCCCAGGATGACTGTAAGGACGAGCTGGCCAGCACACAGTGCGGCCTTACTAATGCCAGCCTCTTTGGCTAAGGCCCTCTTTGCTTCCAGGTTGTGTGGGATCCTGCTTCATCCGGTTGTTACTTCTTCTTGGATCAATGCTCTCTGTTTTGTATCTCGGTCTCATCAGTAGTCTGAGTTTTTCCTTCAGCCCCTAACAATGACACAGAAAGGGAGAACACCCATGCGTCTCGTGTACTTCCTATCCTGGCACCTGGCTTTGGAGTGAACACCCAGGATGCCTGTCCTCCACGGGTCTTTCCTCCCTGGTATGTCCTGAAGTGGTCCTGCCCTGTGTGCGACTCCTCCCTGTTCCCCCACAGCACCCATCCTTGCACCCAGTGGAGCATAATTGTGGGAAGGGCACTGCAGATTCTCCTGTCAGAAAGTGCACCATGAAATTGTATTTCCAAGATGTGTGTGTGCGTGCGACTGCAAAATCCTGCCGCGTACCCCTGCTTGGCTACCTCTTTCTCGGAAGACACATCCCAGTCCTGTTCTAGCATCTTCTACTTAGACCTCTGCTCGTTTCCAAGCATTTCTCTTTCTGGAAGATCATCGAGCCAACGTTAGCTGTCATCTGTGTCCTCGCACAATTGTGGTGGATTCTCCTTAGAGCAAACTGGCAGCCTGGGAAAACTTGGCATTTTAATTAGCAACTGAACTTTTCTCAACAACCATGCAGCACTTGACTTTTACCAAGCACTGTCTTAGCCGCCGGCCCCTTTCACCAGTGAACTAGCTACACCATTAAAAATCATGTGAACTTTTGGGGAGTCTAAATGCGGAGAGGGGCTCTGTGTGTTTTTATTCTAAGTCACAGGACTTTTTCTGACTCATCTTTTTGGAACGAGACTCAGCCGTAGTAGTTGTGCCACTTGCTTCCCTGTAATCCCCGACCTCATGAAAAGAATAGTCAGTGACAGTGTTTTTAGGCTTCTTGATTGTTTGGTGTTGGAAGTGCCTCTTGGAAGGCTCTTTAAATAAGAGATGACCTAGTTCTGACTTAGGGAAGCATTTCTTTTAAGCAACGGTTATTATTTTCTTTTAAAGATTTTATTTCTTTGAGAGAGAGAGAGAGAGAGCATGAGTGGTGGGAGGAGGAGACGCAGAGGGAGAACCAGGCTCCCCATGAGCAGGGAGCCTGATGTGGGGCTGGATTCTAGGGCCCTGGGATCATGACCTGAGCTGAAGGCAGACGCTTCACCGACTAAGCCCGGGTGCCCCAAAGCAAGGGTTATTTTTTTTTAAGATTATTTATTTATTTATTCATGAGAGACACGGGAGGTGGGGGGGCAGAGACACAGGCAGAGGGAGAAGCAGGCTCCATGCAGGGAGCCCGACGTGGGACCCCATCCCGGGTCTCCAGGATCATCCCCTGGGCCAAAGGCGGCGCTAAACCGCTGAGCGGGCTGCCCAGCAAGGGTTATTTTTAAAACAAGATAAAACATTAATGCCTGATGTTAAATGAGAGTATCCGAAAGTTTTCAACCACTAGTTGAAGGGTTGCCTGGGTATAACGGATCTTTATGGAAACGTTTCTCTTGACCAGCACAAGCTAAAAATGGAAACAGCGGCTTAAAGAGGGTGGTTCTAGCCCCCGACATGGTCGCTGTGATGACCAGGGCTGTTCTAAGAGGGCAGAGGATGCGGTCTTTATCAGGAAGAGGCTGGTTGTATTTGTATCTGTACTTTGTTTCTCTTGTAAGGAATTTTTCCTCTGAACACCTTTTAATGAAAGGCAGAGCTAAAACGAGAACAGAACGGCCAAATCCTGAAATCTTGAGTAAGAGGATACCTTTGGAACTTTTTTTTTCCCCTTTGCAACATAAGAAGGACGGTTTCAGTGCAACACAAGGCAGCACATCTTTACAAAGTGGGTGGAGTGTTTCTGGAACTAACTACCTCGGTCAGTGATGTGGATTCAGAATAAAAGCTTCTAGAAGATTCTGGAGATGCTCATAAGTGGTCGCTGTTTAAGGGGACTGAGGAAGCTTAGGTCGTAGGGTCACCTATATTCGTGACCCCTCCGGGCTGGGATCTGGAGCACGCATCTCACAGGACGCCCAGGGCTGCCTCCTGGTGCTGCGCTTAGGTGCTGCTGCCACAGCTGGGCCTGCAGCCTGCAGGTGTCCTGGAGCTCCCTCTAGAAGAGAAGGTGACCACCTGGCGGAAAAGCGAGGGAAACTCTTGACACCCACTGCTCTGAAGGGACTTGGTAAGGCACAGGCTTCTGTGTGCGTGGCTTGGGAGCGCCCCGACTCCCCAGGCATACCTCCTGTTCATCTTTACCTCTGACTTGGGCCAAACCAGCAATCCAGATTTCAATCCCGAGTGTTCGGAGGTTGACTCTGCAGTGGCCCATCCGCCCCCCTCCCTGAGCTAACAAACGTCGTGGCCCCAGAGTCACATAACAAGTCTGCGGTCAGACAGCAATTGTCAGCTCCTGATTACCCCCTTCCTTCCGCGGAGCCTCCGGGTGCCTTTTGGCCTCACCCTTTGTCAAGGAGCAGGAGGGCAGGGCGAGCAGGGGTGGCCTGCGTGGCTGGGTCAGGCGAGGTCTGGCTCCTGGGCAGCGATCGGACACGGCAGGGCCTGGAGGATCTCCAGGAGAGGAAGCAGTACGGCGGAGAGGAAGGAGAAGCCGCCTAGGTCAGCGGGGACCCCGACTTCCCTCCCATCCTGGCTCCTTACCCTCCGGAGCCCAAAACTTACGCCAAAGCTTAAATGACTTTTAGGGCAGTTCCATTCAATAAACCTTTAATAAATACCTGCTACGCGCAGGAACTGGTGGGAGAGGTCAACACGGTTTTCATCTTTCCAGGAACCCACAGCTGGGTGGCGAGAGTGAAGCTTGGGGACAGCATGACCTGCTCACGAGGGACCTGGGGTAGGGGGTGCTCAATGCCAGTCTTGCAAAGCGGTTCCATCCGTGTCAGGATGGAACTTTCTAAAACTGCCAGCCGAGGGGTGTTCAGGGCAGCCGGGAGCACAGCAGTGACCCCTGGAAGCCACGGCTCTAGATGCGTAATCACAGCGGTACGCATGGCCCGGCCCTCTCTGGTTTGTGTGTCTCTTTTCTGGCCAGAAGTATAGGTTTCAGTCCCGGTGCAAAGTCACCGTGGTGACCGGCCAGTGAACCACAATGAAGCCCTTGCCGCCCCCTGTGGTCTCTCTGGGGGGCCTGGCCAGGTCGGCACAGCGCTTGAGGCCACGTAGGGAGCTCCACGGAGGCTGACGTGGGCGGGCTGCACCCCCCAGCCCCGGCTCAGCCTTGGCTGTGGGGCGAGGGGACGCTCAAAGCCATGCTCAGGTGCCTGGAAGGTCATTTGGGTGTGTGGGCAAAGCAAACGGGGACAGCAGATCACACTCTGCCAAAGCAAAATACTCTAGGCTGCCGACCCCCGAGGCTAGCATCCAAGAGGTCTTGGTTCATCTCAAGAGTATTTTTAGCCACTGTAATCTTGTGATGACTTTTTTTTTTTTTTTTTTTTTTTTTGGTTCTAGACTAGAGATGAGCTCTACAAGGTCTTTTTTCTCCCTCACAAGGAGCTGCCACATTGTCTTAGTTGGCAGTTAAGCCACATTTCTTTATTTGATTTTTAAAAAATATTTATTTATTTGTTTATTTATTTATTTGCAAGAGAGCGCACAGCAGGGGAGTGGGGAGGAACAGGAGAGGGACAAGCAGACCTCTGAACCTAGAGCCTGACACAGGACTCGATCCCATGACCCTGAGATCATGACCCAAACCAAAACCAACAGTTGATTGCTCAACCAACTGAGCCACTCAGGCAGGCCAAGCCAAATTTCAAAGGCACCTGGGTGGCCCAGTCCATTAAGCATCTCACTCTTGGTTTTCGCTCAGGTCATGATCTCAGGGTCCTGAGACTGAGCACCACATCAGGCTCCATGCTGAGCATGGAACCTGCTTGGGATTCTCCTTCTCTCTTTGCACCTCTCCCCACTTGCATGTGCACTCTCCCTCTCTGTCTCTAAAGTAATAAATGAATTTGAAAAGAAAGAAAGAAAGAAGGAAAGAAAGAAAGAAAGAAAAAAGAAAAAACTTAAGAAATTGATTAACTCAGTACTTTTTTAGTCTATTATGAGTTTATTTTACTATGAGTGTTTTAAGCTTCCTCAACTTCTTTGTTTAGCCAAA